GAGTCTTTTCCTTTTCCCCTTCCATCTCTTTTGGTGGTTTCTCATCTAGAGCCAGTTTCTCTTGATGTTGCTTCTGATCTTGATGTTCATTCTCTTTCACTTTTTTGGCATCAGAACCATATAGTATGCTGGATACATTTAATTCTTGTTCTCTTGAGGTGCGTTTATAGGACCTCACTGCATTACTTCGATGCCCTAAAAGTACAGAATGCATTTTATAACGATACTGACATTTTTCCCAAAGATTTTATAACTGTATATACCTGTCTTTTCGCAAATTAGCTGCTCGTCTACTCCACGTTCATACAATCTGGTTGCTGCTGTTGCCCGAAGAGAATGATTTGTCCTATGTCCAGAGAGTCCTCCAGATTCGCATAATCGCTTTACTGTTGACCCCAGAGTATTGTGTCCCACTGGAACGCTGCTGTACCATAAACTCTCCTTCGGGCGCTTCAATGGAGTCAAATAGAATGCAGACGCGTCTTTTGGGCTACAATATACCAACAAAAATACAAAAAAGCGTTTATAAAATATTTTGAACAAGGTCAGGTGGGTAGATATAGGAATCAATAGTTGCAAAAATGATTGATATTGGGAGAGTTGAGTAGCTTAAAACATGAACTGTAAAAGTTTGTCCAGATATTAACAAACTCACCACAAACTCACATATTTTTCGTACAGCCTTACAATGCATCGTTTCTTGTCGGCCTTGTTTTCATATGCTCGTGTAACTTTAGGTTGAATTTTTCTGTGTTTCAAACCACCAGAATTTGTCTTTGAGACGTCCTCGTGATACTCTAGATATTTCAATCCCATTTTGCTGTCTGTACACAAGAATACTTGAGAATTTGCTGCACGGAGCTTCCGATGCTCATTTCCCCCTCTCAATGCAAAATGTATGCCAAAAAGATATATAATGGTATCCAATAGCTGCTGGGGATTTTGATCACCCAAGACATTTGCGACCCAAAGGCCCTCTTCTTCATCTAAAGTAATGGGTTCTGCTTGCCTTTTCTTTATGCCAACACCTTCAGAGGCGCTTTCTTTCATCGTCGTGTCCAGTGCATCCCTCAAATACGAAAACTTATCATCATTGAAGAATTTTACTGTCCTGCCTTTTGTCTTGAGAAAATGCTGGATTGAACAAACGATTCCATGCAAGGTGCTTTGGGGATATTTTGCTCCATCTGTCTTTCGCACTTCGCAAATGAATAAGGCCAAGGTTTGGTTTAATTCTTCGTCGGTCATATTTTCTAGTGAGTTTTCCAAAATTTCCTGCCTTGCACTAGTTCCCACTTTCCTGTTTCTTTCCTGTCTCCATGTTTCGAACAGATTGACAGCCCAATTATCTTTATAGGTAGTGTTCTTTGGAACGGATTTGGCAATTTTGTCTTTAACCTTTTCGTGTGACAAAGGCTCGGCAAACCGACTATTAGTAGAAGATTCTGCAGGTACATGTACTTCATTTGGTGCCGCGTTAAAGGAATTTGGCTCACTTAACAATTCAAGCCCGAAAAACGATTCAATATTGAAATTAGGATCTTGAACTTGTGGACTTCTAAAAGTCGAAGGAGTTATAAAGATGTCTGAATCGTCTTCCGAGTCCATTGCAAACGCTTTGCGAAGTAAACGGATGTGCAAGACTGAGCCACGCAGTTTAAATAATGCTGTTAAACAATGCTAAATCAATTTGACTTTATGCAGTATGCTTTCATTCACTCATCCAACTCACAATGAAGCTCAATCAAGTGTAACTTTAATTTGTGCATTGGCGTAAATCAATAGTAATACCCATTTAGGGCTAGCTAAACCACCGGTTTAGTAATTTCTCGATTTTCCAGTTATAGATCGGTTTTGTGCGATTTGAAAACTCTATCATATATACTTCGACTGAGCGAAAAAGCTTTTATGAACAAATCATAAAAGATAACTTTCAAGAAATCCTAAAAGATATTACTTTCCATTGACTTTGTTTTGTTAAAAGGGTTGCTTATACTTTTAATCATTCCCAAGAGAGTGGCTAAGATATAATCACCGTCACAAAGGGACAACTTTTGAATACCACAAATAAACATCAAATCGATTGCAAAGATTGATCTTTATAAAAAAACAATTCATTCTCTACGCTCATTTTAAGATTATTTCATGGATATACCAGTTGAAAGAAGTCCAAAACCTCTTGAAAATAATAGAAAATGGGTGTGGTACATCAGTAAACAACTTAAAAACCACGTGCTCGGTCTGTCATTGAAATTCAAGACCTCGGGCCTGCGGCCCTCGGTCTTGAATTTCAATGACAGACCTCGCACTTGGTTTTTAACCTATATGTAAAGGTATTTTAGAATCTAAATAGCTTTATAAAAAGGGGAAAACTAATACAAAACGATGCGAAAAATGTCACAAAAAGTCAATCAAAAACTCTTTTAGCAAAACGATGTTCAAATTACAAGTTCATATTGTGAACTCTTCATTGTGTAAGGAGTTGAAAAATGATTGTTCTTTGAAAGAAAAAGTGAGGAATAAACAAACTAGCGAATAGATACAGAGGGTAATAACGAAATCATGTCGAATTTTAAGTTAACAATAAACAAGATAAGTTATGAAAAGCCASAAACAAGAAAAGTCGTCAAAGAARTATCGTTAACTAAMTTGAATTTCAAAACAAACCGCKCCTACCTGAAAATTTACAGCTTTTCCATCTCATGTTAACATTCAAAAATTATTTTACCTTTAAGTCCAGCTCTATTTGACT